CATTCCGCCAGCGACGCTCCCTCTTCAACAGGGAGGCAGCGAACACGCAGCCAGCACTCACAGCTCCAGCAGGAGCCAGGGATTCGGCTCAAACAACCGCCTAGGGTGAGTGACAGAGTCTCCCTTCATTCACCTTTCGTGCCTAGGGATAAACAGACTGTTTCCCCCAAGGCTGTGAATGCCAGCTCCGTGAACCCTAGAGCTCGTGTTTCTCCTGTTTGGGAGGATGACAATGTTAGTTTTGAGAACGAGTTTTTTCCTCCTGGTTCAAGAGACTGTGCTCCTGATGTTCCTTCGGACCCAGGAGTTAGGACCGTTTCGTCTAGAACTGTTTATTCTGGGGCTATGTTTATACAGCCAGCTGCCCAGCCTGTAGCCGTAGCACAGCCAGCTGCCCAGCCTGTAGCCGTAGCACAGCCAGCTGCCCAGCCTGTAGCCGTAGCACAGCCAGTCCAGTCAGCCTCTCGTCTTCATCCTCAGTTGGAGGCTGATATGCCTGCTGGAACTACCCTGCCATTATGTCACCCGCCTGTTGTTTCTACATCGCTGTCCAGTCTACCACGAGTAGCTGCCGCACCATTATCACCTCCGCCCTTTGCAGCTACTTCTCCACCAGCGTCCCATCAGACTGCAGCGACCGCAGAACTCTCGACTTCACCATCCACATCACCCGCTCGACCGTCATCTTCGCCACCTGCAGCTTCCGCATCGCCATCTTCACTTCCGGATCACCGACCATCTATACCCGCGTCGCAGCGGGAGGAGCGGCTCAGCGAGCCGGAGGAGCTCAGCATGCCCGAGCAGGAGCTCAGCGAGCGGGAGGAGCCCGCGTCGCCAGCTGTGGAGCTCAGCATGCCCGAGCCGGAGCAGCTCAGCGAGCCGGAGCAGCTCAGCGAGCCGGAGCAGCTCAGCGAGCCGGAGGAGCACTGTGAGCCGGAGGAGCTCAGTGAGCCGGAGGAGCTCAGCGGGCTAATGCCGGAGGAGCTCAGTGAGCCGGAGGAGCACTGTGAGCCGGAGGAGCTCAGCGGGCTAATGCTGGAGGAGCTCAGCGAGCTATTGCCGGAGGAGCTCGGCGAGCCGGAGGAGCACTGTGAGCCGGAGCAGCCCAGCGAGCTAATGCCGGAGGAGCACTGTGAGCCGGAGGAGCACTGTGAGCCGGAGGAGCTCAGCGGGCTAATGCTGGAGGAGCTCAGCGAGCCGGAGGAGCACTGTGAGCCGGAGCAGCCCAGCGAGCTAATGCCGGAGGAGCTCGGCGAGCCGGAGGAGCACTGTGAGCCGGAGCAGCCCAGCGAGCCACCCACTGAGAAGCCCGCACCGCTGCTGGCGGACCTCAACGAGCCGGAGGGACCGGCGTTGCCAGCAGAGGAGCTCAGCGAGCTTGGTGAGCCCGCGCTGCCACCGGAGGAGCTCGGAGGTCCGGAGGGATCCGCTGAGCCAGAGCTGGAGGTCTGCATGCCGGAGGGGCCGCCACGTCCTGCAGCCCGGCCGCCACGTCCTGCAGCCCGGCCGCCACGTCGGGAATCGTGGGTGGTGCTGAGGCGGGAGCAGCAACGCCGCCGCCACCGGACCCGTGGCCGCCCGCCGGAGCAGCAACGCCGCCGCCACCGGACCCGTGGCCGCCCGCCGGAGCAGTCACACTGTCGCCACCGGACCCGTGGCCGCCCGCCGGAGCTGCAACGCCGTTGCCACCGGATCCGTGGCAGGCCGCCTGAAGCGTTCTGCTTCCATCACGGGGTTAGAGGTAGGCCACCTGAACTTTTTTTTTTGCCGCCACTGCCTAACCCGCAGCGGGTCCCGCTTGTTTTGCCGTCCTGCAGATCGGCCGCCAGAACTGTTTGCTGCCACTGGACCGGGGGATTGGACTGTTGACCTGTGTTTTTTCTTTTGTTGCTTTGTGGTGGCTGTTTAGCGGAGTGGTTTTGGGGCCCTCCGTCCTGGACCCCCCGCCACCCGCCCTGGGTTGGTTGTTCTGTGGTTTTGTTTTGGGGTCGTCGGGAGTCGACCCTTAGAGGGGGGGTACTGTCACGGACCCGGTTCCGGGGACTCGGGGTTCGTGAACAGTGTGGACCTTTATTGTTATTAGTGTATTGGATGTATGTTTGCTGCACTGTGTTCTTGTGTTCAATGCTGGTGTGTGTATGTGTGTGAGGCTGGAGGATGAAGGACAGCCACCTGCAGGCCTGATGGGTGTGGCCCTGCCAGCTGCTGGTCACGCCTAGCTTACCACACACCTGCTTCTGATCAGGATCGTCGGGGGAGCTACTTAACAGAGCGATGGAGCTTCCTCCGGCGCAGGATCGTTGCGTTAGACTCCATGTCAGTGTTTCTAGTGTTGTTAAAGTGTATGCCTGCCGGAGTTGGTGCCATAACGGCTGTGTCTGTGTTTTTCCCCAGGAGGACAGCGGAACACAGGACTGCAAGACACACGGGGTGTGTGAAGGCACAGGGGCAGAGAGCACGGGATACCAGCACTTGGGAGAAGACACGTCACGGGAGTCGAGGGAGCACTTTTGGAGATTCAATGTGTGGTGTACAATTACCTCACTGTAAATAAACCCACTGTTCATTCCATTAAGTCCAGCGTTTGGGTCCTATTTCCCCATCTCCCCACGATCTGCCAGCCAGACCGTGACAGTCGGTGCACAATGATCTCAATTTTATTGGCATTGATTTAACTCAGCTTGCATGTGAAGTACAAAACAGCCTTTGGTGGTAAGCTTTGGCTTATTATCTATGACAAGAATCATTTCAGAAAACTGAGGAGGAGCAGAGCTCGTTGTGCTGCAGGGGTTGGTGGAGCTGATGGTTTGTTTGGACAGACTTCAGCACTTATTAATTTTCATCTTTGGACTCATTTAAAGTGGACCTATTATGTTAATTTCCAATTGCATATTTTTATTCTTGTACTGCACAAGATTTAGAGTAGCTTTGCATGATTGGCAGTTAAAAACCAAAACATATTTATCTTACACCGAGCCCATTAGTTCATACTATATTTGAACCAATCATTTTTATATTCTCTCCATTTAACTTTCTACTGACTGACCCTCACTATTGGAAATTTTCAACAGCACGTGTATGGGACTATTTTTTCACAGTCAGAGCATCAGCCTGAGATGACCATATTCAAGATTTCTTTTTCACAGTATTCAGAGCCAAGAGTAGAAAATCAATAGTTGGAAACTGAGCTCTTGGAGCAGTCTGAAGCCTGAGGTTTTGATTAACAGGGATTACCTGCACATATCCATACATTATTATTTGAAACCTTATATATTGGCCATATATATTATGATTAGCATAATTTGCTTGCATGGACAAGGGACATTTCCCCATCTCTGGTCATACCAGCCTATCACATGGTAAAATAGCAAAGAAAATCTAATAATGTTCATTTTTCCTGGACACAAATTCGCACATTTATGTCACAGTAAGCACGACTTTGAAAATTAGTGGTAAGTATATTAGCAAGGATATTTTATGCCTGACACACCATCCTGGCAACCAAGATAACTGAGCTCTGAAAAAAAGTATCAGCTATTGAATGATCTTTTTTCTAAATCCAACTGAGATGATTAATAATTTAAAATAATAATAATAATAATAATAATAATAATAATAAATGCAATGAAATAATTTTGGTCCCAACGCACCAACAGGATATCTGTGTGCAAAAACTACAGTTAGTTAAATACAGTGAAAAGGATTGAAAGAAGCATGTTATGATATTTTATAGGATCCTTGGAAAAGGGGAAACCAGACTTGTTTCCTCGGTTTTCCAAGTAGAAAGATACCTAGCTGCCTGGTTAATTATTCATTTATTTGTCTGCCAGCATACTGTGTTACTGCATTTTGAGAATATTTTACAGTAAATATTGAAGTTAAATGGCGCGTACACATTCAGTATTAAACACAATCAAAAAAGACATTTAGGATATGCAAAAGTGTGTAAATTACATCACTGTGATTGACATAGATTGCATATTGACAAGGAATATTGGATAAATGTGCAGCACCATTCCACAGCCATACCATTTGCAAATACAAAGTGCCATCTTCCAACAAATTATGAGTTAATATAGCTTAAAGTGGCAGAAGGTTAGCGCACATTGTTCACTCTTCCTTTGTTTTTGCACCACATTAATTAAAGCTCTCTCCACTGTACAGGAGGTTTGAAACTCACTTCAAAGACTCAAAGTTTCCCTCTAGACTGCACTTTATCCAAGGTTCTGTTTGCTTTAATTATGTAACAGGAAGTAGGGATCATCTCCAAAATCAATGGTTCCTCACTAGCAGGAGGTTAAGACCGGAGGTGAAAGCAATTAACTTCTAGATGTTATGATCATGTTATGCTGACATGCTGATTATAGAGCCACCTAAAGGCAATGCATCACTAAAGGCTTTAGGATTTCCTCACTGAAATTCAAAGTGATCACACCCATCTATCACGTCTTTTCTCAACTCATCAAATGCAAGGTGAGGAGTTTGGCTTAATGAGAGCAACTTTCTTTCTCATGATGGGCTGTAATAGCCTCTCTGTGGTATCTTCTTGCTCAGTGAAATATTATGGGAGTAAATTGAGGGCTATGAAAAAAAACGTGGTAACTCATTATTCTCATACCACTAAAATCCAGACGACAATAATAACCCCTAAGCAACAACACCAGTTACACCAGTTTAGTTCAACTTGACCAAACAATCATGACCAACCTAACTTACATGCAGTGACTTCCAGTAAAAAAAACCTTCAGATTTTACTCCAGTATGCTGCACAACATGTAGTCACATTCTCCAAACATAGTGTACTGTTGAATGCAGAGCAGTCTACCCAGCGCTTTCTCAAAGCGCTCAGAATATGCAACACATGAACAGAGAGGCACAACAGCTACAGAAGAGCCCTCACAACAATCATTACTTTCACAAGTGCAGCAAAGCAACTACACACACTTATCTCAGCGCCACTAATGAAACCAGGCATGCACTTCTTCGCTTCCTTGCCTTACCGTTTATATGCCATTTGCCTCATTTTCAGCAGATAAAATCACTACTTTCATGTGCCTGTGCATCCCCTCAGAGCTGCATGCATTTAGAAAAAGACTCCCCTAATTCTGACTGGAGACAGGGCTGGTAGGCAGAGAGAGAGAGAGAGGGGAGAGAGAGAAAATGAGAGAGGGAGCTGTGAACTGAATGGAGCAGGAGGAGGTGTTCTGGAAGAGGAGGGGTTAGGGGAGTGATGGAGAGAAGAGGGAAGAGAGAGAGAGAGAGGAGAGGTGTGGCTGAAGGTGTAACTGCTGGGAGGAGAGGAAGTAAAAGTGAAAGTAGCCAACCTTGTGTTATGCTGCGTCTCGCCATCAGATTCCTGGTAGGAAGAGAAGCGGGTGAAATGATTAGATATATTTATCAAGCAGATTTATCTGGCGCCGCCGCTGCCACTGCACGCCGTGGAATACCTCTTATCTGGTGTTTAACGAGCTCTCAGAGTGGCTGTGTCTCGGCAAACAAATATATCCATTATTTCCTCACTCTCACACACTGTATCAGTTCTGAGAACATTAAGTGAAAGGAGGAGAGAGGCAGAGCAAGAAATGACAGATTAACAGTGCAAAAGAAAAATGCTGTGTGCTGCAGAAAGGGAGAGAAAGTGCCCGAGGGTGAGAGGCAGACTTGCAGACTGTAGTTGCTAGGAGGAAAGTACAAAAAAGTAAAATGGTAAACAAAACTAAAAATGTTGCAAATTAAGTCTAAAAGAATGAAGTACTCTTCTTAGATTTCTTTCTTGATACCACTCTCTTGTTTTGAAGAATGAAGATATTGCTACCTTAGGGAACACAAAAATCTGCCTAACATGAAGCTCACTGCTGAGCGCTTCGTATTTTATTTCGATATGCAACAATCTGTAGAAAAAAAGGACCACACTTTGTTATGTGGAAGTTAGTCGCTTCAGGTTGCTAACGCTGTTTAGTGTTTATAACATAAGCTAACTGATGGCTAGCTATATTATACTCAGTACTGAGCATACTCAGTGCTGCTCTGTCATATCTACACATGAATGCAAATAAATAGACTGGTCATAGCTTGCATATAGATTGTAAATAATAAGGATTTCACAAGAATTTACATTGAATTATTTTAATGCAGTTACAAGTTACATGCATGGCCATAAAAAACTCCCAATTTCACCGTCTTCTTCATGAACTTTATAGTGGCCACAAAGTCACGCATTGTTTTGGTGCTGTAGTAGGTTGGTATGTTTTCAGGTTCACGTCAGTCTCATTGGTGAGGATTTAGCAAGGTATATTAAATGTCACAGGTGCACAGCTTCAACATACGGACTACAAGATTGCAGTGCGTATTGGTGAGTGTGTGGAAGCCGGGCTTCACGCAGTTGCGTGGGTGTTACAAACAGTGTGAATGATACAGCAGGATGACTCATACAGCTACTGAATGAGACAACGCTCAGTAATCCCCCCACCCCCCACCTCCACGTCCATCCTTCCATCCCAGCATCCCTCTGTGTGGAGAGGGCAAGCCTAGAGAGGGGGGAGGAGGATAGAATTGGCATTCCTGCAAGGCATCACTGAATGATAATCAGCTCACATGGATTTACTTTCATTCAGTGAAAAAGGTAAAATATTAACCTTTAACTCGCTTTTGCTAAATGATGATAGAATGGAGACAAAAAGCAGACATATTAAAAAGTACTGACTTGACAAACACTATTTGTCATTTATTTTGTACATAGCTTGGGCAGCTAAATATCCATTTTCTTCTGATTTCCAATTCATCGTCATGGGGGGTCTGGAGCTTATCCCAGTTGTCATAGTGTGAGAGACAGGTACACACTGGACATGCCGCCAGGGCTCACACACAGAGGCAAACAAGCATTCACTCTTACATTTACACCTATGGGCAATTTAGAATTACCAGTTAGCCCAACTCCATGCATGTCTTTGGACTGTAGGAGGATGTCTGAGTACCCAGACACAGGGGGAATATGCAGACTCCACACAGAAGGCCCCCTGGATTTGAAGCCATCTTGCATTTCACATTACCATTTGATAAAACTTTTATCATAAAAAATATTAATTAGTATTTTTTAAAAACTTTGTAATCGTTAGGATTTCTTCTTAGAATTATTTCTGATACCATTGTGGATATTTTTCAGCATTATTTTCATGACACTTTTTTGAATCACTGCTCCTACAGCATTTAACAGTAAATCTGCTATTCTCATCCCAATATGAAGGTCATTCACAGGACGCCATGCTTGCATTTACTAGGTGATGATTTTATCGAAACACACACATTAGCCCACATACTTGCTTCATGTTTAATTACTGCTGTATTTCACAGGTATACTCTTGTATTGTTAGGATGCATTCCGCTGCTGACTGATAATTTATAACTTCACTATGTCTCAATTACAAGTTCTCAGTTTATCTCAGCTCATCACATATTTTGTAATAGATGTATTTCAGCCTTGCCCTCCAGACTGCAGAGGACACTTCTCCTTCTTTTTCTCCTACCTTGAAAGAAGCGCCCACCTCATCTCTACACTTGCAAGCCACTAACTGTGAAAAGCTGCCATACAGCAGTTTTCTCTCTTTTTGCCAAATGTATTCCTTTTAATACATACACCCACTCATCGGCTGAACAGTTGCTAGGGAGCTGACATCCAGTGAATAAGTTCTAGTCAGAAAGCGACATCCCAAACATTTATCTTCCTCCTTACTGTTGGACGTTGGTCAAAGTTCACCCATTTAGCAGCAGGATATTAGTACAACAGTGCATCAGGTTGTGAGAGGCCATATTACTGGATGGCATTACTATGCCTGAGGCTCAAAAGCACAACAAAAACAGAAGGAGGGAAAGTGTTTAAATATTTTATGTATCAGCTACCTTCACACTGGCACACAAGCAGGATAGTGAAATTTGTTTTAGATTCAAGCAGTCTTTCTCTATTTTAGTAAAAAAGCAGCAAGTAAGGCAGATGTATTTCTTAATATGATATTCCAAAGGGACCAGTAGTTCCCATTGCTAGCCCTCTGTTGAATGTTTGGAGGGCAGGAAGATGCTAATGCATTTAAATAAAAAGTAATACAGACACAGCACAGCACTCTGAGAACTTCCCGGCCACTGAAAATGCTCATCTAGTAGGTCGCGCTGTGATTTTGAGTCTATATTTGAAAGTAGCATGAGCAAGAATACAGTTGGGTCCATTAGTATTTGAACAGTGTGCATCAACTGTATTTCCCACCTAGAATTTCTGCAGCCATCTTTAGCTGCTGCTTTTTCGTAGGTCACTCTGCATTCAATTCGGTCTTCAGTAAGTGAAAAGGATGTTCTGAGATCAGCTGAATGACTTGGCCATTGAAGAATATCGCAATTCTTTACCTTGAGATACTTTTGGGTTGCTTTTGCAGTATGCTTTGGGTTATTATCCATTTGTAGTGCGAAGGTCTGTCTGATCAGTTTTACGGCATTTGGCTAAATCTAAGCAGAGCACAGCCCAACACTTCAGAATACATCCTGCTACCTCTACCAGCAATCACATCATCAATAAACACTAGTGACCTGGCTCCACTGACCTACATGCCCATGCTATCGCAGATGATGGTGTATGCTTCGAATCACAAGCTGTTTCTCTTCTTTTCCCTTCTTTTTTCTTCTCATCATTTTAGTGCAGTTTCATCTTGGTTTTATTTTTTTTTTTAGGACTGTTGAGGCCCTGTCAGATGTTTTTTCTGCCAAAGTGTAATCTGACCTGCTTGCTCTTGTGTGTAACCAGTGGTTTGCACCTTCCATTCATGAAGACATCTCTTCATGTAGACTTTAGGGACCAGAAAAAGTAGAAACATCCAAGTAAAACCCATAGTATAGCAAAGAAGGAGGTATACTACATGTTTAGCTTATACCACAACAGATATACCTATCTGTTTAAAATGTTCTTGACTGGACTTTTTCATCCACTTTAGTTGTTTTCTGTGGTCTCTCTGGTCTTTTGGTGTTGCCAAATGCTGTTTGTTTGATTACACCTGATGTTTTTGCTATCTTTCTGATAGGTTTATTTTATTTTATTTTTTCCCCAGTCTAATGATGGCCTCCTTCACTTGCATCAACTTTTTGGACCTCATTTTGAGAATTTCAGTAAAAAGCTGGAAAATACAAGTTCAACACTTGAAATTGATTCCAGATATTTTGTCTGCTTAATGTGTCATAGAACAACAAGAAAATAGGCCTCGAAACTACCTTCTCAACTGACCAATTATTTTTAAGCCTCTGAAAATAGGGCACTGTAACTCCTAGATTGTTGATGCAATACTTTTGATAAAGCTCTTCATATCCCCAGTGACTTTAAATCCCCTGTGATGGAGTATGGAGGCAAAAACTACAGAATTTGTGTAATTGTTCAAATGCTTATACCTATTCTTTTCAATCATAGACTGAAAATCATAACATGAGCTGCAGTTTGAACAAATCTTTTCTTGGTAAATGCACATTTTCAATGGCCAGGGTATTCTCAAAGCATTGCTGTGGTCTATTTTACTTTTCATTTAAATGCATCGACATCTTTTTGCCCTACAAACATTCAAAAGATGGATAGCAAATGTCCAAATACTTATGGAGCTATCTGTATGTTATGTGCATGCATTCCTGTGCATATACAGCACAGAATAATTCAGATTCTCGCTAATGAATAATCATGTTTTCAGATTTAGTTTTGTATGGCAAGTGGGTCATGTGTCAGATGCAATTAAGCAAAACAGCAAACATAAATGAGTCACATCTACATAATAAGTCTGAGAAGAGTAATATTCAGCTAACAAAGACGAATGTGATGCAATACACTATATCAAAGCCTTGAATAAAGACTGAGTGAATTCATCAGAGGCTTGTGTAATCTTATTCATTTGGCTTCTCATTTCCAGCAATCTGCATTTACTCTTACTGCAGGAGAAAACATGACACAAACTGATCATTTCTTAGAATGATCACGACAATTATCTTCACAATAGCGCAAAATAAAGTTACTGTGCATGATGTAATAACTGTCTATCATGTAATAAAATTCAAAGTATGTGGG